ATCGCTTCTTTGATCGTGACTGCCTCGCACCTTGACTTGATTTCTTGACAAAAACTGTCTTTTCTCCAATACTGAAAATTGAAGTGACACCAATACTTGGGTCGTGATTATCTCCAACTTCATGACTTTTGAGATTTGTTTCCTGTGGACATGTGACAAAACTTGTGACCTTGAATTGATGACGTTGACTTGACCCATCTTTGTAGCAATTTTCAATCCATTTCAATGCCCCTCTGAGACTACAAAACTCAATGAATCCATGGTGGTGATGCAAGAGCTAGTAACTGATGGAAGACTATCTCAGACATGAATCTCACGCATGATGACCAACTTGGTCCCTTCCTTCATTAACTACCGATCATGAGTGCTGCCGACCGAAGCTTTGACAGAGCCGGACTACGGATGGCGGACACTAAAGCATGGACTTCAACCTGACAACGGATGACCCGACGCAATTGATGACAATATTATCGCTGCTGACCATGACGATGTAGAATTGGCGAAGGCACCTCGATGCAAGGAGACGCCGCGATGAAAGCTCCGAACAACGCGGAGGCTTGACTGGCCGGCGATGACGGTGACTTTGGTGGGAGCTCGGATCCAAGCAACCTCTACTGACGACTGGGATGATGATGATGCAACGACCCGGGATGACGGACCCGGGAGAAAGAAGGATTGGCGAGGGCACTGATGCGGGGCGACTTCAAGGCCTTATCCAGCAGGAGAGGACAGGCGAGGACGCTCAGGGCGACGTCGGAAAGAAAACAGGCCATGAGTTGACCTTGCTTCCTGACTGAAGGATGAACGCCGGGAACCCAAGATGGATGAAGGTGTCTCACGGTTGATGCCTCGACTGATGACCTCGACGATGGCCTCGTTGACGAAGATAGCAACAGCGATATGGATGCTGACTGGAGACCGAAAGAGGAGCTTGGACGGATACAAAAGCGCTTGGGATGCGGATGACGGCAGCAAAGGCTTCAAGAAAGACGATTGTGACCAGGACTTTAGGCAGCAGGTAGCCTATGAGCAAAGGCATAGACTCGGTGCTGAACTTAGTTGAGGACGACGACGGTGATTGAGCGATGTCCTTGTTTCCTTGACTTATGATTCGGCGACAACCATCGTGACAATATGATAGGCGACACGGCAGTTGACGATTGATGACATCAGGGACGGCAGATCCCATCGACCTCAGTGCGGACTTGTCGGACATGACGGGGACAACGCACAGAAGAACCAAAATGATGGCGGAAGCGCAAACCCTAACAATGAACCAGGCTCTGATACCATGAAGAATTTGATGATGCGGAATTGGAACAACACACGAACACACGAGATTTACGTGGTATCCTCGATCGATTGATTGATCGAGACTAATCCACGATGAGCTCGGAACGAGCTCACGACTGATATTTTATTAGGGACTACATTGTGACTGACTAGCTTACCACAAGACTTGGTAGCTTAGTTCTTAAATAGACAAGGTTTAGGCTTTAATCCTTGCACAGCCGTGACCTTGGCTTGACAAGCAAGGAATACAAAACCATAATGGATAAGGAGAACTAATGGTTATTTACTACAATTAGAGTTCTTACTCCAATTGGACTTGTAACTAACTGAGATTAGTTCCAACGAGTCCAACACTATATTTTGGGAAATATTTTTTATTAACTAGTGTATTCTGGAATTTTTCCCTAAGGTTGTAAGCCATCTCATGAGAAGTGGTTTTGATTTGCTTGTGGTGCCGCTGGTGGGTGGAAGTAACCAACCCACATCCTCATCACAGCCAGCCAATTAAAGAAGTCATGCACTTATCAATTCAATGGGATCATGAAAATGTGACCATTTCAGGCCACCACCCCACACCTTCTCTTTTCCCCTTTCTCTTCTATTTAACCAAATGAACCGGTCCGGCCATGACTGCTGTCTCTCTCAAGAGTGTCACTCATCATATCGTCGTGAGTGATAAATCAATTACCCACAACTGGAGTTAATGATCGAACCCATGGGATGAGATGAGAAGACAGCCCCCCCTAAAGGAAAGAGGAATGTAACAAAAGGCAAACAGCCAGAAAAGCCTGAGTAATAAAGTGGCTCCAATTGCATAAACAGCCCCTACACTTTAGGGCCACTCCCAAATTAGTCACCAAGCTCTCTGTTTTTTAACAAATTTGTCATTAAAGTTTGGAGTGATTAAAATAACAGTCAATTTGTGCATGTTCGTTAAGTTTTTCAATCAAATTTTATTTTATAGAGTAGTGTGTGTCAATTCGGTTAAATTAGTAATAAAAATCTCACATCCACCCTCTGATTAGCTACACCCAGAAGAGAATAGGAGCACTTCAAGAAATTAGGGTTGGAATTAGGTTGAATGTTGGAAATGGATTGGACGATTGGTTTAGAGTTTAGACTGTGTACGGGTTAACATTGGGTCATCCATTCAGCCAATTAGGATTTACAACATTTGGCCTTCCGATTATAATTTGTGCGAGCAAAAATATTCTTTTCAAGAATTAAGATAAATCTCTAATAAAGACCAAACACAATTTCGCACTACCCAAGTCCAATTTGGGGGAGGGGGGAATGGATAGATTGTAAGATAAGTATATTCAAACCTAGTATATTCAGAAAATTTGCACTTTCTAACAAAAAAACATATCGAGTACGTGATTGTCAACCTAGTTGTTTCGACATACACTGATGTATGTATTAAATGTCAAAATTTGATAACCAATTTATGAATGATCCAAAAGTTTAGTGACACTGACCAGTAGTATAATTAACTCGCGATAAAGTGCAGGACAGGGAGGTGCCTCTTTTATAAGTCACCCCGTTGTTCTGGAAAATTCTTAGCTCCAACCTTGGTTGAATGCAGAAGTTTCAGCCACGTGTTTGTTTGTTTTTGGTGGAGTCACCTTCCTTATTTCTTAATATTTAAATGTTTTTAATTATGATAAATAAATTAATAATTAAAATATTAAAAATAAAGATAAATTCATTGATAGGAAACTAACATGTGACTTGATTGAACCTTTTTCATCCAATCAAAATTAGAGGTAAGAATTTTCACATTGTTCTATTATCCTGTCTATTCTATTTACCACTCAAATGATTCGATTCTATTCTCTAGAAAAGGGTTTATGGCCCTTTTTCTAGTCAAGACAAGCAGAGAAAAGGGCGATAAAAAGATAAATTTCATGCGTAAGGTTTGCAGACTATTTTACCTTTTGGAGGTTAGCTTGCCCTTTTCATTACACAAGGAAAAGGAAGAGGAGCCCTTATTTTATGGGGAGAAAGAAAGGGCTTTCGGGTAGTCTTTCACAGTCCCAAAGTCTAATGCCCTATGAAGAAGCACTGGATGCAAACCTAGTTTAGTTTAACTCTTCCAACTCGATTCCTATAGATCTAAATAAGAGATAGGAGGCCAACTGTACCTTAGATTAGATATATGGTAGCAGTTTCCATATGGCAATAACAAAGGCAAATAGAATATTTATGTTGCCACTATTTTATGATAAATTGAGATGTGTGCATTGGATACCATTTCATTTCCATATATATGTAGGCAGAGACATTCAATTTGTTGGATCAATGATTCTATTTCAAAAATAAATTACAATTCATTTGGATTCCGTCAATAAAAAATGAGAGATTTGAGTTCATATTCCGGCAGTTGGGTACTTGGGTTGTGACAAACAAGTATAAGAGAACAACATTATGAAGATTTTAAAAGTAAAGATCGAAGAGTCAGGTAGATCGTTACCAATTTATTGTTGGGATATAACCAGATAATTCTAGTAGAATTGTAGATGTTAGTGTTTACTACTCATATTCAATTTTTAATTTGGGTCTAAATCGTTCTCTTAGTATTGATGTCCAATAGAAAATGGGTGTCCAATTGTAATGCAATTTATGTTTTTTTTTTGGTTATGAAACAAATAAAAAGGTAAAAACACATGCATTAAAAGTTTATAATTGTATTAAAAGTAGTTAATGAAATGGTTGACATTATTTCTTGACGTATATAATAATCAAGATCCATTTTAGTCTAACCCGAATATGACCCAATTTAAATCCAAAACAAACCAAAAATCATTAAAAGTACATATAAATTCATTATGGGTCATGACAATTGAGTCAAATTACTGAATAAATCAATCCATTGTCATCTCTAAAACAGGATCATATAATATTATTATAATTAAGCGTTTGTTCACAAACTACTTCGACGATCACGTTTCTCAACCTCTTACGTTTAGAAGATTTTTTAAGGCATATATGTGCGCCCAATAATGGTATGCATACAAATTTGGATAAAAAAGAATTACTAACATCCTATCAACTATTCTAATATGTTAGGGTGGAAACCACCTCAAAATAATACTCCACCCGAGAAAATAAATACAGATATATAATTTAGCACAGGTGCCACCTAATTTCTATTTGGAAAAGAGAGAGAGAAAAAAAACAGGTTGTGTATATTCCAATTGATTAATTATTCTAGCCTGTTTACCAGTTGTTGTTAACAAATTGTTTTCATCCAAATTATACGGGTGGCCTTTCGTGTTAACACTTATACGACATTGTCACTGTCAGTGAACCAACCACTTTTTGATTTAAATTATGAGATTTCCCCTTCAAACCAATTGGAGATTTGGTCGCAAAGTTTCCCCTCCTCTAATATTTAAGGTCTAACCGAAAAGAGCATAAAAAGAGCAACCCCATTACTCGATTCCCCCAATAAAAACAGACCTTTATATCACAGTGACACAATTGTAGCAAAAGCGCACCACACGGCGCCGTTTCGCTTCAAGCACTCCTCTCTCTCTCTCTCTCTCTCTCTCTCTCTTCCTTGATTCCTTCCCCACACTTTCCTATTAGCAGTCCCCCGCCAGCTTCACCAAAAACAGAGCCACAGAGCGCAAGCAGCCAAGCAGTATAGTATTCTACTGTCTCTGCTTCAACACGCTCCTCCTTCCTCCTTCCTCCACCTAAAAATGGCAACGGCTATTTCTCTCTTCCCCTTCTCCCTCCTCCTCCTTCTCACCACCACCACTATCGCCGCCGTCGTTCCAGCCGCCGAGATCCAAGCTTTGACCGCCTTCAAGCTCGCCCTCCACGACCCCCTCGGCGCCCTCGACGGCTGGGACCCTTCCACCCCGCTCGCTCCCTGCGACTGGCGGGGCGTTACCTGCTCTCCCTCCAACACCTCTTCCCGGGTCACCGACCTCCGCCTTCCCCACCTCCAGCTCGCCGGCGGTATCGATCCGCAGCTCGCCGACCTCACCCAGCTCCGCCGGCTCAGCCTCCACACCAACAGCTTCAACGGCTCAATACCCAGCTCGCTCTCCCGCTGCTCACTCCTTCGCGCCGTTTACCTTCAGTACAACTCCCTATCCGGCGAGCTCCCGGCTTCCCTCCTCGCCAACCTCACCAATCTCCAAATCTTCACCGTCTCCCACAATCTCCTCTCCGGGAGAGTAGGGGGAGGCGGAGGAGGGTTCCCGGTTTCTCTGCGGTTTCTCGATTTGTCCTCCAATGCTTTCTCAGGGGAGATTCCGTCTAATTTTTCGGCCGATTCGGAGCTGCAGCTGGTGAATCTGTCGTTTAATGAGTTTTCTGGAGAGGTTCCGGCGAGTTTCGGGAAGTTGCAGTGGTTGGAGTACCTGTGGCTGGACTCGAATCGGTTGGAGGGAACTCTTCCATCGGCGATTGCAAACTGCTCGTCGCTTAAGCAGCTGAGCGCGGAGGATAACAAGCTGAGGGGATTGATTCCGGCGACGATCGGCTCGATTCCGCGGCTCCAAGTGCTCTCCCTGTCGCGGAACGAGCTCTCCGGTTCGATTCCGTCGTCTATTTTCTGCAATGTCGGAGTAGGCGGCGGCAATTTTTCGGCGGGAGGGCTTCGTTTTGTGGACTTAGGGTTTAATGCGCTCACGGGGATAGCTCAGCCGCCAGATGGCGGCGGAGGAGGAGGAGGATGTGGGGATTCTGTTCTCCAAGTAATTGACGTTCACGAGAATCGCATTAACGGCGTGTTCCCTTCGTGGTTGACCAACATCACCACTCTCCAAGTCGTTGACCTTTCCAGAAACTTCTTCGCCGGCTTTCTGCCGGCCGGGGTCGGGAACCTTCTCCGGTTACGCGAGCTCAGAGTTGCTGCCAATTCGTTCAACGGCAGTCTTCCAAGTGACATCGTCAAATGTACCTCTCTACAAGTCCTCGACGTTGGGGACAATCGATTTACCGGTGAGATCCCTTCCTTCATCACAGGCTTACTTGGTTTAACAACACTGTCGCTGGAAGGAAATCAGTTCTCCGGTCCCGTTCCGGCAGGGGTAAGCAACTTGGTTGAGCTCCAAACGCTGAACTTGAGCGATAATGCTCTGAGTGGTGATTTCCCGGTGGAGATACTAAGTATGGGGAACTTGAGCGCATTGAATCTCGGCGGTAATACATTTGGTGGGGAGCTTCCTTCTAGAATAGGGGAGTTGAAGGGATTGCAGGTTTTGAACTTAAGTGCATGCGGGTTTTCAGGCAGGATTCCGGCTGCCATTGGTGGGTTATTGAAGCTAACAACTCTTGATTTGAGCAAGCAGAACTTCGCCGGCGAATTGCCCATCGAGCTGTTTGGGTTGCCGAGCTTGGAACTTGTTTCACTGGAGGAGAACAAATTGTCTGGGAATGTTCCAGAGGGATTTAGCAGCTTAGTTGCTCTACAACATCTCAATCTCACTTCCAATTCCTTCTCCGGCGAGATCCCGGGGACTTATGGGTTTCTCAGAAGCTTAACTGCTCTCTCATTGTCTAAGAACAGCGTTTCAGGTGAGATTCCGGAGGAGCTCGGCAATTGTACAAGTCTTCAGGTGCTCGAGCTTCGTTCGAATCGCTTGACCGGTGAAATCCCAGGCGACATCTCTCGTTTATCTCGCCTAAACGTTCTCGATTTGGGGCAGAATGGTTTGACAGAGGAGATCCCAGTAGAGATCGAGAAATGCTCTTCTTTATCATCTCTCCTACTGGATGGGAATCACATTTCAGGCCGAATCCCAGAGTCATTATCCAAGCTATCCAATTTGTCAGCTCTAGACCTTTCATCGAACAGTTTGAGTGGCCAGATCCCAGCCAACATTTCATCCATCCCTAACCTCAAACACTTGAACTTATCAGCCAACAGCTTACAAGGTGAGATCCCGGAGCCATTAGCCTCTCGATTCGACGACCCTTCGGTGTTCTTCATGAACGGGAAGCTATGCGGGAAGCCACTCGACAAACAATGCCCCAGCGAGAAGAGCAAGAAGAGAAGGAAACTCATCCTGTTCATTGCAGTAGTCACTGGTGGAAGCCTCCTCCTAGCAATGTGCTGCTGTGGATACACATACAGCCTCCTCCGGTGGCGGAAGAAGTTGAGGGAAATGGCTGCCGGAAAGAAACGCAGCCCGGCTCGCGGAAGCTCCGACAGAGGCAGAGGAAGCAATGGCTCCAACAATGGGGGAGGGCCTAAGTTGGTTATGTTCAACAACAAGATAACTTACGCCGAAACCCTCGAAGCCACGAGGAATTTCGACGAGGAGAATGTCCTGAGCAGGGGGAGATACGGGCTCGTGTTCAAAGCCTCGTATCAAGACGGGATGGTGCTCTCCATCCGCCGCCTCCCGGACGGAATCGCCGTCGAGGAGAACACTTTCAGGAAGGAATCAGAGTCTCTAGGCAGAGTCAAACACCGCAATTTAACCGTACTTCGTGGATACTACGCCGGCCCACCGCCGGAGGTCAAACTCCTGGTCTACGACTACATGCCGAACGGAAACCTGGCCACTCTGCTGCAAGAAGCTTCTCATCAAGACGGCCATGTCCTGAACTGGCCAATGCGGCACTTAATTGCATTGGGGATTGCCAGAGGGCTAGCATTTCTACACTCCGTGACGATGGTCCACGGCGATTTAAAGCCTCTGAACGTCCTATTCGACGCTGATTTCGAGGCGCATTTGTCGGAATTCGGGCTCGACAAGCTGACAGTTTCGTTCCCGGCGCAGGCTTCCTCGTCGGTGACCGCTGTGGGGACGGTCGGGTACGTGGCGCCGGAGGCCGTCCTGACGGCGGAGGCCACGAGGGAGTCGGACGTGTACAGCTTCGGGATCGTCCTGCTGGAGATTCTGACGGGGAAGAAGCCGGTGATGTTCAATCAGGAGGAGGAAGATATAGTGAAGTGGGTGAAGAAGCAGCTGCAGACGGGTCGGGTTTCGGAGCTGTTGGAACCGGGGCTGCTGGAGCTTGATCCGGAGTCGTCGGAGTGGGAGGAGGTTCTTTTGGGGGTGAAAGTCGGGCTGCTGTGTACGGCTCCGGATCCGGTGGATCGGCCGTCGATGACTGACGTGGTGTTTATGCTGGAAGGGTGCAGGGTTGGTCCGGAGATCCCGTCCTCAGCGGATCCGACCTCGCTGCCTTCCCCAGTTGCCTGATTAATTAGTGGTTAGTGATTAGTAGTGTAGTGATTGGTGATTATCATTATTATTCCCTCTCTTGATGACGAAATTTGGACATTCTTTTAATCGAAATCTCTCCGGCCAGTTTTTTTCTTTCTCTCCCGTGTTTAGGGAAATTGGGAATGACTTAGTGCTCTGTCATGATCATCATCTTCTTCTTGGTCTGGTTGTTAATGGAGTGTTCAAAATTTTAGTGTAAGGATGATTTTGTAAGTTATCCTCAAAATTTCCTTTTATGACTAACTGTGATTATGATTTTGTTTTGGATTTGCTTTGTTCCTGAATTTGCTCTTTGGTTGACCGGCGAGATAGGGACAGGTGTGGATTCCGACTTGGAGAGGGCAATGAGATTAATTAAGGGCAAAAGTCATTAGATAAGGACAAGTCAGTTGAGCAGGCGGTCCCTCCCCATCCACACGACTAATGCTCTTCTGGTGATGGATCGTTTACGAATTAACGAGCCTTTAATAATGCTCTTTTGGTGACTGTTTTTTTAGTCTTTTAGATGCGTAGATCTCAAACTTAGTTACGATGAATTAACGATTTTTATCAATAAAGCAGTTTTTTTAACTAAATCTTGAATTGGTAATACTCTTGCCCTAACTGGATCATACGTTCGATCTCATTTTGAATCTCACATAGACGATCGAATCAAATATTCTTTGTCAAGGCACTAGTGCCACTTTGATAAGTACAAAACCACAAGGAATCACCAATTCACCATAATTTGCAATTTGTAAGCTTTGGTGGAGGAGCCGTTGTGCCGTATTTTAGGGACCGATATGAAATGGAGAAGTAGTGTTATTATTATAGCCTGAAATTAAGTTGGGGGAATCAAATTGCGTTTACGAACAATCAATGCCATCGGAGGAGTTTCTATTTTATCCTATTAACTGATAACTAATTAATTGGTATTTATTATACCAAAAAAAATTAATTGGTATTTATAAATAAACAGATGTCCGTGGAAGGAAGGTAATGTATGGAACGGGGCCCACAGCAAGAAGTCCAAAACTCCCGCCAAAAGAAGCTAGAGAAAAAAAGCCAATGAAAAGGGGCACGTGGGGGCCAGTGAGGCTATCCAAAAAGTAGCCGTTAATGCTGCGAAGAAGGATTGGGAGTAGGGCCCGGCGTATTCTTTTATCTATTTTATTTATTTAATTAAATTATTGAGTAAATACAATTTATTAGTTAAATTTTATAAATTATAAGTCAAATATTTCGAAATGTAAAATATTAGTCAATTTTTTTTTTTGTAATATATCAATATATTAATCATTTGTTTGTTATTATTAGTAATTTTGTAACTTTTCTAAGACTAGGGTTTCAGTTTCAACAACGGAATTCAACCTTTACGTAACAAAAAATTAATTCAGTGATAATATCACAAGTTTTGAACATGTAAGTGTCTTGTTCAAATAACTTCACTTAACTGACGGATGGAAGGTGAAGGCTAGTATTAAAAATTCAATCAGCTGAATCTCTCACCTACCATCCACCAGTCTCCCTCTCCCTCTCCCTCCACTTTCTGCGTTTTCAACTTTTTTTTTTTTTTATCGAATCCGTGTTTTAATGATCGTCATTATCATTCAACCAAAATCTACCCGCAGCGTATTTTGACCCGACCCATTTGCCACCATGCAAGAGAAACATCCATCCACCCTCCTGTGCCTTTTTTAACTTCTGGGATTTGCGTCAGTGTAAGTACTGAAATGCATGTGATACTTCCCCTGGCGTTGCCAGAGCTCCAGTATCCTACAGTTAATTTTTTTTTTTGGGTTTTTTTTGTTTTCCACTCTAGTAACGTTGCTGTCGGGGACCGTGGTAAGTCAGTGGCTATCATAATGGCTCAAGCCCACCAAAAAGAAAGAAACGTAAGCTTTTTCTGGGATTGCTAGCTGGTTTATTTCGCCATCTGGTGGTTCAATTCCACCACCCTTCCATTTCAACCGCGAAATTTTACTGTCCTCGATCTGCAGTTAAGTACTGTAGGAATCCTTCAATTCTACTTTAGAAAGGGATGGTGTTTCAAATGCAGTTACAGGCTGCATTGAATGGTCAAACCACTCGTCTTGCTAATTGGATTCATTCAGTTCCACTGATTGTTGTTAGTCACCATCGGTCTAGTTGTAATCCGCTCTGAATTTGGCTATCTCGTATTCTCGTTGTATGGTAAGTACCATGATTGTTTGATTTGTCGCAGTTGCTTGTGATGCAAGCAGGATGTGAGGAGAGAATGGTTTGCAGATCTGACAGTTGCAGTGCTCTAGTTGATGGTTAAACTCAGAAGAACGTGAAACTGGGATAAGGTTTGAGTTATGAATTATAGACGTTGAGAGGGCAGGCTAATGAATTTCCTTATGGAGGTTATAAAAAAAGTTGGCCTTTTAGGTTCAAGTTCTGTTTACCCCCATTCACTCTGTTGTGAGCTCTGCAGATTACAGAGCTTTGTGGGGGCCTGGGGGGCCGAGCTTCTGAATCTAAGGGGAAATCAATGGCGGACTCTTTTTTTTTTTGGTAGAAAGACGACGTCAAGCGTCTAATTCGTATTACAAATTAACCGATCATGGGAAATTCCCATGATATCATGGTACAACCATTGCCCGAGGCCCGGGTCGCACACATTGAAGTGATGTGTGCCAAAATTAACATAATGTCCCCTATCCGCTAAGTAGTCCGCGGCAAAATTAGCCTCCCTAAACACATGAGAAATGACAACTTCCCATTCAAGATTGAGCAGGTTGCGAAACTGTTGGGCAACATGACCATGGCGGTGTTCATCGTCCTCATGGTTCTTGATAATAGCAATTGCAGTGGATGAGTCCAAGTTCAAGTGGACTCTTCTATAGCCTTTCCTCCAAGCAATTTTCAGCCCTTCAACTGCGCCTTTTAGTTCTGCACTAGTAATAGAGCAGATCCCCAAATTGCACACAAAGGCTTCTTTACATCTTCCTTCGCAGTCTCTGATCAGCCCTCCAGCTGCAGCATGTCCTGCTGGAGCAAGTACTGATCCGTCAGTCTGGAGTTGCACCCATCCTTCCGGAGGGGGAGTCCATCCCACTTGTTGGTTTCTTTTGAGAGAGACAGTACCAGGCCTTATCTTCTCTTCACGTTTCCTGGCCTGTTCCACAATGTTAAGCCAGGCATTGATCTTGCATTGCAGTCCTTGCTCGGAGAAGGGTGCTCCTTCCATGACTTCGACATTCCGTTGTTTCCACAGCATCCAGCAGATGATCCCAAAGTCCACCCCTGATTTCTCGCTTTTTAGGTTTAACACAAGCCAGTCCAGAAAAGGGATGTTGTGGTCCTTCACTTCGATTTTCTCCTTGAAGCGACCCCAGACAGTCCTAGCCTTGACACAGCCCCTCAAGATGTGGTCAACTGATTCCTCCTCGTCTCTACAATGATTGCAGCTGCTAGTTGTTGCAATCTTACGTCTTGTTCTCTCCTTGTTTGTTAGCAGTCTCTCGTGTCTCGCCAGCCAGAGGAAGTGCTTAACTCTGTTGGGCCCCTTCCATTGCCAGATCACCTTCCAGCTTGAGGACTCTTCCTCAATGTCAATGTTCGCCGCCAGGTTGTAAGCTGATTTGAGCCGGAATCTCCCATCTTTCTCAAGTCCCCATAGCATCTTGTCCTCACCAAGCTCCGGGTTGGGTGTGCTGGTACCTGCAATCATCAGGAGGATGTCATCAGGCAGGAGTTCCTTTAACCTTCCCCACCTCCACTCACCTTCTGCAGTGACCCAGTCAGCCACAGTCGAGTTGCTCTCTTCCTCATTGGTGTCCTGCATCAGGTGGTCACTCAGCAGAATTCCACAGTCAAGCCATGGCTGGTTCCAAAAACTTGTATCCCTTCCATTACGAATGCTCCAGCAGGTAGCCTCTTTCATGAGGGGTAGAGCCTTCACAATGGCTCTCCAGAGGTTGGAATGGTTGGACTTCTTCATTGAAACAATCTCTCCATGCTTGTGGTTGAAGTATTTCCCCTGCAAAACCTTAACCCAAAGCTCGTTCTCCTTGTTAAAAATACACCAAGCCAGCTTAATCATAAAGGACATGTTAAGGCAGCGGGCAGACTTCAGACCAAGTCCTCCTTGTGCTTTCGGTTTACAGATTGTGTCCCATCCCACAAGGTGGGCCTTTCTTTTCCCTTCTTGTGACCCCCAGACAAACCCCCTAATCTTTCTATCAATCAGGTCACACACAGATAAGGGGATGAAAGTGGTTTGCATCGCATAGGAAGGAATGGCATTCAACACAGCACTAGCCAAAGTAACTCTGCCTGCTAGCGACAGGGTTCTGGCTTTCCAGGTTGTTAATTTCTGATCCATCCTATCAAGAATATACTTGTAAGTAAATCTGGTCAACCTACCATGCAAGACAGGTACCCCAAGGTACTTCCCAAGATCATAGGTTTCCTGTATTCCGAGTCTGCCACATATTTCCTGCCTAGTGGAGTTCTTAACATTTTTGGAAAAAAACACCCTAGACTTCTCCCTACTGACCAGTTCCCCAGAAGCACAACAGAACGATTCCAAGCATTTCATAACCACATCAGCATGTAAAGGGTTAGCTTCAGCAAACAGGACTAAATCGTCCGCAAAAAACAAGTGGGACAGAGGGGGGCCTCCAGGAGAGAGCTTCATTGGCTTCCATCTCCCTTCCTTGACCTCATGCATGATACTATGACTAAGTCGTTCGACGCATAAAGTAAACAAGTAAGGGGATAAAGGACATCCCTGTCTAAGCCCTTGTGTTGGAAAGAACCTTTCAGTTTCACCACCATTCCAAAGCACCTGGAAACTTGTGGTAGACACGCAGGCCATGACCACTCTGATGAAGTTAGCTGGGAGACTCGCAGCCACCAAAGTCTCCTCAAGGAACCTCCAGCTAACCCTATCATAGGCCTTAGCAAGGTCCACTTTCAACAGCATGCTTCCTTTCCTTCCTGTTTTCCTTCCCATTGAGTGCACAGCC